CGGGAGATTCACCTGCTTTTAGTTGGTCTTCTTTGGAGGGCGGGGTTGGAGTGGGGGCGGGGGGGTGGGGGAGGGTTGGGGTGTGGTTTGCGGTGGGAAGGCCCTACTGATTTGCTCTGGTTGCCATGGCAACCAGAGAAGGCCGGCGATGAAGGTAGGGGTTCGAGAGGTGGGAGAAGATGGCGGCAGTCGGGATTGGGACGGCTGGGTCGTGCGGGCTGCAGGGTCCTCTGGCCCGGACGTGCAGGCGGGGTTGCCACACACCGAACGTACGGACCGTGCCTTTGCGCGCCCGGACGCGGTCGTGCGGGCGGGTTCCTGTCCATGCCACACGAGGTATGTGGCACAAACACCCGATACACCGCACGTGTGGCAGTTATCGGGACTTTTTTTAGACGGAAAATACTCCACCTATACGGTGAGTTCCTTTTACAAACAAATTGGCCTGATCCTACTCGGCCCAGTATAGCCCAAGTTAGGAACGGGAGAGTCCTTCCTTCCTGCCACGCGCAGGATCATATCCGCTCTGCCCCGTGCGTCCCCCTGGAAGCCGCCGCCATCCCTCCTTCCCCAACGAAGTCCCTCTCCAGCCTCCGGCCTCCGTCTTCCTCCGGCGGTTTTGTGATCAACCGGGAGGTCTATTAATCTGGACGCACCATTATGAGTTTTCGGCGGTTTGTGTATCTGGCGGCGGCCGATGGCGCCAACCGCACCAACACTCTGCGCCGCATAGACACGTCGTCCCTGTTCCGCCCAACGCCACCAAGGCAAATCGTGGACACGCCGGCGGCTATAGAGGACGCTCCCTTGCCGGACCCAATCTTGAGCTTCTACCCTCCCCACAAGCCGTAGCTCGACGGCACGATGTGCTTCTTCCTCCTCAAGAACGGGGGAGAGGGCAGGGTGATCGCATCGGACCACACGGGCCGCTCCGTGCTCTACGATCTCGGCCTGCACGCCATCCGCGCCATGCCCAGCATGAAGGCTCCCAAGTGCATGCCCGTCTCCCTCACCGTCCGGAACCGCCTCTACGTCCTGGATCGGATCCCGTCGCTGCCACACGGCAGAGAGGTGCAGAGCTTCGAGGTTCTCACCTTCCGTCAACCCCGCTATGACTACGGCGACTGGCGATGGCGCTCTCTGGATGTGCCTCCCTACTTATCAGAGCCAACCTACGGCCCCTCCGGCTACATTCAGTCCTACGCTGTGGTCGCCGGCTCAAACATCTGCATATCCACCAGCAGCCTCGGCACCTACTCCTTCGACACCAAGAAACTGGTGTGGAGCAAGTCGGGGGACTGGGCGTTGCCGTTCAGCGGCCTTGCTGAGTATCTGCCCGAGCACAAGCTCTGGTTCGGCATGTCGTCGTTGGACAGAGGCAGGACCTTCTGTGCAGCCGACCTCGCTGCCGCCACCGCGGTCACCCCGCCTGGGGTGCACAGAGCGTGGGAGGATGTCACGCCGCCGATTGAAGGAGACCTGGTGGCGTCCTATGCCGTGCACCTCGGCGGAGGAAAGTTCTGCATCGTCAGGTTTCTTGAAGTTGGTACGTGCGAAAGGATACTCATGGACTTTGACACTGTGGAGACCATCGTGGTGTTCACCGGCGTAGAGATGGAGAGATGCGGTAATCAAGAGCTTCATGCGCTACAGCATAAGTCGGTGCGTTACAAGCTTACAGACAACCACATCATCCACTGGGTATTTTAAAGAACCATACTGTTGTTGGGATATATATCCTTATTCACTGCTGGAATTTTCCGGGTGTAATGCTCTTCGCAGAGTGCTAAAACACGGACACTCGGCAAAGCAAACTTTGCCGAGTGTCACTCTCGGTAAACTCAGCTTCACGACGAACTGCCATCTTTGTCGTCACTGCCTCACGGCAAAGAGGCACCGCACGACAAACCATGCAGACACCGAAAGCGGCTCACGGCAAAGAGGAGCCATGTAGCATGCCCGTCCGCAACAGACGGCTCCGTCAGTTACTGCGTACATTACCGAGAGCGGTCATACGACACTCGGCAAATCATATGTCACATCCTATTTTATTTTTTGTGTTTGTTCTTTCTAACTGATATATGCGCAATGTTTGAACATGACGTGATATATACTCTATGATAAAAATTGAGTATATACTTCCAACAAAAAAGGGCAGTACGTATCACTTATTTTTTTAATAATGAATATACTCCATAGAACGTCAGTATGTACTCCTTATAAAAATGAGTATAGACTCCAATAAAAGCCAGTATATACTACTTTGAAGAATAATTCATTATGTACTACTTTAAAAAATCAGTATATTGTCCTTATATAAATGCACTATGTACCATTTTAAAAACATCAGTATGTACTGCTATAAAAAATTACAGATGCAAAAATATACCTCCCTACTCTTTGGTACTGCTTCAGATATACCTAATTGTTAATTAAAAGGTATAATTCCCAGCGCATGGCTCTTATGCGTGCAAAAATATCTAAGGTATATTATAATGGTGGCGTACATGATAAGCTTCCTCAACTAATCCACCGGCTACATGCACCTTACTTACAGGAAGTAGTTGCAAACTAATTCGTTTCCCTCTTGAACGGCTTGCTCAACGCCATCTGGTATATCCATCTACCTTATCCACTAGGTGGGAGTAGAGTACAAAAAAGGTGTCACATGGCGAGAATTCACAAGAGTGCTCGTCCTCGCCTGCTCCCGTATTGTCTACCGTTCTTTTCTGATAGACCCGGCACCATTACGTCAGTGGGCCAGATATTGATTTACTATTGCACTGAGTTATTCAGCAGAGCCTCCGTAACGTCGTCCTGGCACAGGAGGCCAGCTCCGTCTTGTGCCAGCGGCCCTGTTCAAGCGCATGCTGCCTTCGCAAATACGTGAGCATTTTTCTCCAATGTTTGAACATGACGTGAGCACGCTGCCTTCGCACTATACCACGCGAATATCTTCAAGCTGGGGATTAGGCGAAGCAGCTCCGTCTTCTCGAATGACGTGAGCAAGACGTGAGCATGCTGCCATATGTCAGCATTTTTCTCGAATGCTTGAACATATTTTTTATTTGCGAACTTTTTTAAACTCGTGAACAATATTACAGTTGTGAAACTTTTTTTGATACTTGAACATTCTTTCTCGAATACGTGAACATATTTTTGCATTCCCGAACTTTTTTGAATTTGCCGCCAACATGTTTCAAATTGGTGAGCATTTTTTGTAGTGGTGAACATTTTCTTCAATCCGTGATTTTGTTTGAAGACGTTAACATTTTTTTATTTTGCAAAAAGTTTTTCAATATGTGAACATTTTATGAATTTAGGAGTATTTTTTGATTTTGCGCACATACATTTATTGAATTCGTGAACGTCTTATGAATTCACCATGAACATTTATGGAATTCATGAACGTTTTTCTAATTTTCTGTGAACATATTTCCAATTCTCAAATATTTTTGAATTCATGAACAAACATTTGAGTTCAGAACTTTTTTTGAATACAAGAACATTTTTTCCAGTATACTTGAACATATCTTGAATTAACAGATATTTTTAGAATCGCCACGAACTTCTTTCGTATTCGCGGAGATTGTTTGAAACCAAGGACATTTTATGAATTCATTGCGAACATATTTCGAATTCGCATATAATTTTTTAATCTGCAAACAATGTTTGAGTTCATGAAAAAAATTGTGTGCATGAATTGTTTCTGAATTCTTGACGAATTCATTAACATTTCTGAATTCATAAACTATATTCGAATTCACAAAAAAACTGAATACTTAAACATTTTTCTAGAATACTTGAACATATTTTGAATTCGCCAACGTTTCTTGAATTTGCCGTGAACACATTTCGTATTCGCAGACACTTTTTAAACCACGAACATTATATGAATTCACCGCCAACATTTATCGAATTCACAAATGTTTTTGAATCAGCGAACAATATTTTTCAAATACGCGAACCTTTTTGAATTCACGAACAAAATTGAAGAAGGCTAGCGCCATTGCACCGTGCCGGATAAAATAATCGTTAGCCCCTCGTCACCGCTGAAGGACATGTTGCGCCGGACGCACTTGATAGATGAAGGTGAAGAGCATGTCAGCCGTGTCTGTCTCGTCTGCGTTGTGCTCTGTCACTCGCATCTCGCCTCCATCAAGCTTCCGCCGCTCGCGTCTGATATCCTCCGTTGTGCCGCTGGTCTGCCGTCGAACGGCATCTCATTTTCACCGTAGATTCGCCGGCTGCCCGGCTTCCCTGCTGCGACCTGTAACAAAGCAAGAGTAGCAAGAGATGATGGCAGGAACGAATTAACAAGAACACTACGGGCATCAAGTTGGAGGAAAAAATGCAAAGCAATTTTCTTACGTCTCCATGGACTGCATCTTGCGATGGGAGTTTTTTTTTTTTTTGCATGCATCCCAACACGTATATATTATGCACCGGCTATCGTCAATGGTTCAGTGACGTGTGAGAAATCATTAGCTCGACCATCGACCTTTTTAATGGATTCCCCGACGCGATTGCCGACGGCGGCCGGAGGTAGTTTTCGCGATCAGTTTTGGCAAGATATATGTGGGCAAAGAATGCGTATCCCATATCCCTATTTTCATGCAACAAATTTTCAAACTGAACCTTATCCATGCAGTTAGATTAGCTGTTTGTTAATTAATAGTTCTACTTAATTTAATTTAATAATTATATAATGGGTGAACCGGTTGGTAACACAGGCTGTGAGTGAATTGGGGTAGGGAGTATGTACTCCTAGGAGCACAATAGGAGTAGGATTTTCTAGAATAGCTTGCCACAGAACTAGTTAAAGTTTTCGACGGTGTAAAAGTTCTCAAAAATCCTGAAAAAATACTGAACCAACACACCTATAATATAACATGATCCAACAGATGGATTGAAAAAATATGACTACATGTGTCCTGGACAAAAAGAACAAATGTCTCAATATATATTGATCCTGCAATGAGCTGGAATGCTTGTTTTTTTCGCTGAGGACACATAAATGCGTATTTTCACAATCACACCGTTGGATCATCTTATTATATTAGACTGAGGTTCTCCTATTTATTTCATATTTTTTACTTACTTTTAAACCAATAAATGTTTAGCAAGCCTTAACTAGTTCTGTGGCAAGCTATGATAGACATAGTTTTACCTATATATAGGAGTAGGATTTTCTAGAATAGTCCACATATTGTCACACACAAGTCGAATGTATTATCCTAGTAGACGTCACACACAAGTCGCAAATTCATACATATTGTCACTACTTGTAAAACACGTGCACGTCACAATAGAAGTATACTTGTTCATATATAGATCATCTTGAGGAGGAGAGGCCATCGGGTTAACATTCCGGAGGAGGAGGAGGGGCATCACTTGCACTGCTTCGAGATTGCATAAGAACCTATAAGAGTAGAGTCACGTGAGGGTGGTTCGTCCCCGGTGTAATGAATATTCTACTCTAGTTTAGATAATGTTCTACATGTAGTTGATCCTCAAGCAGCTTCAACCTCTTGTTCGTGTCTTCCCGTTCCTTTTCTTTGGAGTCCTGCTCAGCCTGCCGCCTTTGCTCCTCTTCAACAGTCCACTATGCCATTAAATCCTATAACATGTAGGCTCATATAGGTTGGAACGGTGCTATTTCGAGGCATGGACATAAATGAAAGGTTAGGATGCTAACCTTGAGACGTGCTATCTCACGTGATGCGGTGGTTGGGCGACTCTGTATGGACGGAGTTGAGCTGGTGCTCGACGCGCGTATCTCGTGCAGCTTGCGCTGCGAGGAGGTGGCGATCGCCCCGTTGCAAAGGAGGTGGCGGCCATGGCCCTTCCCCTGGCCAGCAATGATGAGAAGCTCATGATCAAGGGGCTTGGACGTAGGTTCGGCTTCTTGCCCATGCACCTCCTGGAAGACCTCTTTGAAGGTCCCCCACTTCTCCGCCGACTCGCTGCAGAACTCGATGCCATCCTTCCCCTTGTGGCCTTCTTTCCAGGCTTCCAGGATGTGGACCGGGCGACCAACCTTCGCCTCCTACAAAATTAACCATTAAGTTGAATGAACCAAGATGCACCGTGCGAAAAAGTTAACATCTTAATCCACATACCATGTGTTGCTTGAGAGCGGTTAGGTTCCGGCTCCCCTGGACATGAGCCGGGCCTGGCATTTTGGTGTTGGGGAACGTAGTAATTTCAAAAAAATTCCTATGTACACGCAAGATCATGGTGATGACATAGCAACGAGAGGGGAGAGTGTTGTCCACGTACCCTCGTAGACCGTAAGCGGAAGCGTTATGACAACGCGGTTGATGTAGTCGTACGTCTTCACGATCCGACCGATCCAAGCACCGAACGTACGGCACCTCCGAGTTCAGCACACGTTCAGCTCGATGACGATCCCCGGGCTCCGATCCAGCAAAGCTTCGGGGATGAGTTCCGTCAGCACGACGGCGTGGTGACGATGATGATGTTCTACCGGCGCAGGGCTTCGCCTAAACTCCGCGACGATATGACCGAGGTGGAATATGGTGGAGGGGGGCACCGCACACGGCTAAGGAACGATCCGTAGATCAACTTGTGTGTCATGGGGTGCCCCCCTGCCCCCGTATATAAAGGA